GCCCCCCAGCCCCCCGGACACCCCCCCCCCATCAGTGCTGCTTCTCTCCCCCCTTCCTCCGGGCCCCCTCCTCCTCCCCTCCAGCCCCACAGCCCTCGATCCCCCCCTAGCTCTGCTTCCTGCCCCATTTCTGGCCAGCCCCACCCCCCTTCCCCTCCAGAGCATGGACCCCAAATGGCTGCTTGCTTTCCCTCTGGGGCCCAGCTAAGAAGGGGTCAGAGAGTTGATGCACACCATCAGGAGGTATGGCCATGTATGTCAGAGTTAGAGACTCACAGACAATGGGCTACTATATATATGATTACTATCTCCCCTGAGGCCATGTGAGTCAGTGTGGTGTAGCAGTAGAGAAATCTCATTTCTATGGACCCCAAATGGCTGCTTGCTTTCCCTCTGGGGCCCAGCTAAGAAGGGGTCAGAGAGTTGATGCACACCATCAGGAGGTATGGCCATGTATGTCAGAGTTAGAGACTCACAGACAATGGGCTACTATATATATGATTACTATCTCCCCTGAGGCCATGTGAGTCAGTGTGGTGTAGCAGTAGAGAAATCTCATTTCTCTTCTTGGTTCTGTTACTTTGATGACTGCCCTTGGACATGCCATAGCACCACTCCATGCCTCAGTTTCCCTACCTTTAAAATGGGGAACACAGGGACACTCAACTCCTTTGTAAAATGTTTTGGGATTTAAAGATTAAACACACTAGGTAAGAGCTAGGTATTATTATTATTACTCTTCAGGATCCAGCTATGTTCTGGCCAAAGAATCACAATAATCACATAACTCAGTTTTTTCCACTTGAGGGCGGGGGTGACACCCATGCCTGGCCCTGGCACCAGCTGGAGGGGGTAGGGTCCAACTTCATGTTCTTGGAAGGCCAGGGTCTTGGGCAGAAGGGGTAGGCCTCAGGCAGCTGGCCCTCAGTACTGCCTGAACCATGGCAACTCCTCCAGCACTACCTGGAGTGTGCTGCATGGCACCCCCACCTTCCCAGGCATTCCTATGAGCTGGCACTGCTGTTGACACATCAGCAGCTAGAGGCCTGGGCCCCTTTGAAATGCTGGCCCCAGGGGAGTTATCCTCTTTGTCTCCCCACTTTTGGTGGGCCCTAAAGATATAGCTGCACCTCTGGCCCCTCTATAAGCTCTCTTGGATTTTCACGTGACAGGCCCAGTGTTTTCACTCCTCTCTGATTGAACACCTTTGTGGTTCTCCCAGTCATGCCCCAAGTCCCCAGGCTGTTGATCCCTTGTTTATAATTTGTGTTTCCTTAGTGGGCCCTGCTGGGTTTGTCACAAACAAGATAATCCCCTCCAAGAGCTGTGATCAGCATGAAAATGCAGAGTCACCAGCCAGCTCCTTCCAAACTATATAGTGTTTGTTTACTCACAGGAAGATTATATTCAGAGAGAGAGAGAGCAATGTAGACTCAGAGTGGTTTTATTAGTATGTAACTGGATGCTTCCCTGTCAAACATAACCACTAACATAAACATTCTGTGAGGCATTTTGCATCTAGGTATATTATATTACATAGTTGTACAGTGACATGTTGTTCTCATCCATGCAGAGACTGAGAGGAAGGCGCTGGAATCAGGTACAGTAAAAATTACTGTCAGAACACATGAATTCAGATATCGATTTTCACACTACAATTAATTATAAACAGTGAGACATAAATACTGTGGTATTTATCACAGATCATGAAACATCATGGAGGTTGTCGACAGATGTAATACAGGAGGCCAGGAAAGTAGGGTTGTAATTTTGGCTCTGTGACCTTACCTAAGTCATTTGCCTTTTTTACCTTAGCTTCCCCATCGCTAAATAAGTCTAATATTACTAATCTATTTTCAAGTAGGATAGTGAGTTGAATGAAATTCCAGATGGACTCTTTCCTATGCAGAAATCCAGCACAAGACCTATGTATCACTCAATTTGGGACTTAAGTGAAACTTAAGTGATGTATAGGCATTATGCAGGCCCTCTACATTGGGCTGATTTCAGTTTGGAACAACAAAGAAAAGCACCTCACAGGGGAGAACAAGCATCTAGCACTATTTGTTATTAATGTGACTGGTTTAACTGTAGTGCCTTAAAAGGGAACACTAAAGCATCAGAAATGGATTACAAATATTCTTTGCAATTAAATACATTCAGCTTTTTCTGTAATAATGTAGTTCATCTGGGAAATTAGTGCTACATATACACACCATTCAGTAGGGGAAAGGAAGAAAACAATTCCCTAAGAGCATGTCTACACACTGTGGAGAAGATTGACCCCATGATAATGTACAGCCCCAAATCGAATGCTGAGGAGCCCACCCAGTGGTGTGTACTCCTCATTCTGTGAGGTGTAAGGTAAGCCAGCAGGAGTATGCTCTCCTGTCAGTCTCCTAGGCTACGTCTATCCTATGAGTTTTCTCTGCAAAAATGCGCTGAGGGACTCATTTGGATGAGTCGTGATCTCATTTGCATATTTTCTGCCAATCCATTTTTGTCCAAAAACAAGCATTGTGAAAGTTTTCTTTTTGCACAAAAAACCCTTTTCCAGCAAGATTCTTATGCCCCAAAAAAGGAGGTTTACAGCTTTTGCCGAAAAAGGTTTTTTTGCACAAAAAGAAAACATCGACACTTCTTCGTTTTGCACAAAAACCCTAGAGCAAAAATGGATTGGCAGAAAATATGCAAAGGAGATCATGACCTCAAACTTAAAACCTCAAAAATTAGATTTAAGGGTTATTTAGAGGGAAAGGTTTTGCCTCAAAATAGCCCCGTTTTTTCTCTCGCAATAGTACTATTTCTCAATTTCAGCAGTCCACAATTATGCAAATGAAGCATGGGATATTTAAATCCCTGCTTCATTTGCAATTTCAGATGTCTACATTTGTATTCCTCCCTCAAAGTGTAGACTTAGCCTAACCTTCCAAGGATATGTCTACACTAGCTTGTTAGTTCGAGCTAGGTATGCAAATGAGAGCAACTGGAGTTGCAAATGAAGCCCAGGATTTAAATATCCCGGGCTTCATTTACATGTTCCCGGGTGCCGCCATTTTTAAATCCCCCTTAGTCCGAACTAACTACCCGTGGCTAGATGCGGCAGTTAAATGTTAATTCGAACTAACTCCTTAGTTTGAATTAACTGTTACTCCTCATTCCACAAGGAGTAACAGTTACTTCGAACTAAGATGCAAATGAAGACTGGAATATTTAAATGCCGGGCTTCATTTGCAACTTTGGTTGCCCTCATTTGCCTACCTAGCTCAAACTAACAAGCTAGTGTAGACATACCCCAAGAGACAGCAGTAAGGTCAATTGAAGAATTCTTCTGTCAACCTAACACTGTCTACACTGGTGCTTAATTCTGCTTAATTCTGCTTCTGAGGGCTGTGAATTTTACTGGAGGACTTAACTGCATCAGCTTAACTTTTGAGTGTAGATCAGCTGTTAGATGTAACAACAAATTGTTTGCCATCTTTATAGAGATCATTAGTTTTGTTATTTTTCCATCCAGAGAATCAGTGTGTGTATTTCTCAGAATGAGATGAACTATTTGATATTGTAAAATAGGCTACATCTATACTGCAAGCGTCTTGAGGAAGAGCAAATGCAAATGGAGTGCTCATTTGCATATGCAACACTCCCATTTGCATTTCTGAGCTCCATTTGCATTTGCTCTTCCGCAAGAGCCTTGGAGTATAGACGTAGTCTATTTTACAATATCAAACTTGTAATAGAAACTTTTGCTTTCTTTTTTCCTTTTACAGATCATCAGGAGCTACAAGACAGACTTGGTAGGGCTCATTTTATGGTACAGAATTAATTAGCAACTATAATTGTACGATGTAGATTAAATTATGGGTAATTTGCAAACATAAGAATACAGGAGATTCTAGGGATATTATATTAAACACCGAGTAATATGTAGTATCTCTAACAGTCCTTAGAGATAAATTGTGAGCATGCACCCTCAATAAACTTATTTTCTTCTTACTTTATAACAGTTTTCCGTTATAAGTATTTCCGGAAAAAGAGCGTCTACATTGGCAGGATGCTTTTCCGGAAAAGCCCTTTTTCCGGAAAAGCGTCTGTGGCCAATGTAGACACGCTTTTCCGGAAAAAAGCCCCGATCGTCATTTTCGCGATCGGGGCTTTTTTGCGGAAAAGACTACTGTGCTGTCTACACTGGCCCTTTTCCGGAACAGTTTTCCGGAAAAAGGACTTTTGCCCGAGCGGGAGCAGCATAGTTTTTCCAGAATGCAGCTGATTTCTTACAGTAGATCGTCAGTGCTTTTCCGGAAATTCAAGGGGCCAGTGTAGACAGCTCGCAGCTTATTCCGGAAAAGCGGCTGCTTTTCCGGAATAAGTGGCCCAGTGTAGAACAGCCTCAATGTTTGATTCAAAAACTAATAAAAAAGTTTCCACTTGTTGACTGCAAATAAGCATAACATTAAAACTACAGAACTGAGCTGACTGAGACTTGGTTTAGTAACATCTCCATATAAAGCTGTGCTTAAAGATTATATTCACTATGGGTGCATTTAAACAGACAGCTTTAACTTGCAATAAGCCATGAAAATTGAGTTACATCAATTGCGTAGTTTATTTCAAAATAGTTTATTTCAAAATTAGGAGGGTTTACATGGCACTTATTTCAAAACAGAGCACTCTTCTGTTGGAAGGTAAAATGGAAGGTTCGAGAATGTGGCCAGCCCCAGAGAGGTGCAGAAACAGGCAGCCTTGTATTTAATATTTTTTAACTTTTATTAAAATGCTTTTAACTATAACTTTTTATTTATCAACTTTTTACATGCGTGGGCGCCAGATAACTATTAACAGTAACAACAAACAAACTGCAATACAATAGAGGAAAATGCCCTGGGGTTTCTCTAAGTCTAAGTAATTATCAATAACAGCCCAGGGATTTTTATCAGTTATATTTACATTAATTTCACTCATGAGGTTTAACATCTATTTAAACTCCTAACTATACTATTTAACAAACTTCTAACTAACTTACTCTTAACACTATTATTTATCAAACCTTTAACTAACTTTACACAGCAATACTCACATTTATCAGACATACAAGAGACAACAGAGACAACAGCATATTCGTTATTCGTTACGCTCTGCAAAAGATTCGGTAGATTCGGTGAGCGGGAGGGGGTCCTCGGGTGATCAGCCCTCAGAACCTGGCTCGTGTTCTGCCTTCCAAATGTTCGGGAACCCTCAATGACAGATTCAGTCTGCCTAGTGACAGGCTGAGGGGGAAGGGGAGGGGGTGAGATGGCCCTAGAGTGGCGCAAACTTTGTACAACCTTTACCTGCCTGGTGTCTTACTCCTGGTTTTTACTGATTTTAACTCACATAGTGCAGGATTTTTGGTTTGAGGGGAAGGTAAACTTGGGCTAGGAAGGCTATGCGCACGAGGCCTGGCCAGAAAAGAGCCTGTTTTCACATCTTCCTCTGACTTCCCTTATTCCTTATTCAATAAGGGTTACAGGAGCTGGAGTAAGAAGACCTCCAGCTTGACAGTATTTCAACATTATTTTGAAATAACTGCTGGCTGTGTAGACGTGTTGCATAAATTGCTGGTTTCGTCCCCTTGGAGGCTAGTCTGATTTACCCCAAGAAGAGAGTCACACTTTCAGGCTGGGTCCAACTCAAGTTTATTGGTTGCAACCAAGGTACGGCTAAGGAACTCAATGTTCAAATCAGAGCCGACCCCCAACATCTCATATGCAGGGGTTCTTATAGGGTTAACATCCTTCCTGGTTTAGGTGCCTTAACATGATAGGTTACTTCATCTTTGACATTTAGCATTCCTATAGGTCAGGTTAATTTTCCAAATGAGGTTAAATACAGTGCCTACTTGCTGAACAATGGGCAAGCCATACTTCCCTTTTTCCTTTCCTGCTTGAGCCGGTCACAAGTTTAAAGGATGTGGAATCTATCCATATCTCTACTTAACAGAAGACTGGTTTCACTTCCCCTCGTCTCCTTATTATAAGTTATTACCTGTGACAGGCCTTGACCTTTGTCATGTCTTACTCCTATACAAATAGCAAATATATCTAAGCATTAGCAATGTATGTATATTGTACGTGCCCCTCATAGGGGAATCAATGGCTCCGGGGGATTTGACTTCCCTTTTACACATCAGACGCAAACTAAGTTATTTCAAAATAACTCTAGTTTTTAAATAAATAATGCTAGTTATTTTGAAATCGTGTTACCCTGTAGACATAACTTATCGTAGCATGGCATCTCTTTCACATTACCATACTCATTTCTTTTTCCACTGGTGGTGGGGGAAACTGAGTAATAATTGAAATTGACAGTGGGGCTGTGTCTACGCTGGCACCCTTTTCCGGAAAAGGGATGCAGATTAGCCAAATCGGAATTGCAAATGCAGCGGGGATTTAAATTTTCCCCGCTGCATTTGAATGAACATGGCTGCCGCTTTTTTCCGGCTTGGGGCTTTGCCAGAAAAAAGCGCCAGTATAGACGGGATCTTTCGGAAAATAAAGCCTTTTCTGGAAGATCCCTTATTCCTCTTAAAATCAGGAATAAGGGATCTTCCGGAAAAGGCTTTATTTTCCGAAAGATCCCTGTCTAGACTGGTGCTTTTTTCTGGCAAAGCCCCGAGCCGGAAAAAAGCAGCAGCCATGTTCCTGCAAATGGAGCGGGGAAAATTTAAATCCCCGCTGTATTTGCAATTCTGACTTGGCTAATCTGCATCCCTTTTCCGGAAAAGGGTGCCAGTGTAGACACAGCCTTGATGTGTTGGGGTTTATTTCTCACTATTGTCCAAGAAAGCCTTGTGGCAGGGCCAAGGTATGCTCCTCTACCAAACAAAAGAAATTCAAAAAACAAAATAAAGGGAAATGCATTTCCATATCCTCTATCTGAGGGTGTGGTGGCCTTGTTATTGGGCCCAGGGTTACCATCTTTCCTTTAAAGAGGCAGTCAGGTATATAACTTCCCCTAGGTAGAGACGTATGTACTCCCCCACCCTGGAGAAATCTTTTTTCCTGCTACCCCAGTCTTGTATCAGCTGAGGGGTATTTAAAGGTCTCAAAGCATGTCTACACAACAAAGTTATTCTGAAATAGCAAGATGATCATCCACATTGGCAAGCCCATTATTTCAAAATTATTTCAAAATAACAGGTTTCTTATTTGGGAATAACAAACCCTCATTTCATGAGAAATAATGCCTATTTTGAACTAGTATGACCCCACTACAGGGAAGCCTTGGGAAGCACTGGGATGTAATTGATGTTTACTGGAGAGTAATTTGCTCTGGGGAGGATATTCAAAATAGCAGCAGTGGAGCATTCTCTATTCCAAAATGGCTTTTTCAAAATAGTTACTTTGGGAGTTATTCCAACATAAGCACGTAGTATAGACATACCCAGATAGCCCTTAATTGAACACAGGTGGTTAGTCTGAACCTCTGTTCAGTTTATAGGGAAAAGGGAATATATTATTGTAGGATTAATTACCTGCCTTCCATCCCTTTTTTACTGCTGCGCAGCCTGATTTTGTCACACTATATTGCCATTAACTGTATGAAGGAAATTCTCATTGGATTCAAATATGCATTATTAATTAATAAAGTAATGTATAGACATATAATGGAAGTCCATATTTTAAAAGCTAGAGCAGAAGAGCAAAGCTTTGCCCCCGCTCCCAGGTTTAATTCTGCATTTCCTGACTTACGTGCCTGATTTCTCATTCTCTCCATTGCAACAGTGATATTGATATTTTCACAGAATATTTTATTTAATTTGCATATAGTTATGGTGTCCTTCACTCTAACATCAGGGTGTATTAAAGTAAATGAAAATCAAAGACACAATATCTTCTGCCTCTCTAGCTGTTCTTTTATCATAAGCCAATTAATAATAAACCTCGCTTTTAAGGAAAATAGCAGTGAATATTGTGAAGGGCAAAATTAGCTAATGAGTAAATTTTACATTTTCTGAACTGAAGGAATTGCCTCTCCTACCTTGGGCAGGGTTGTCTAAATTTGGCTTCACCCAAATTCGTCTTTGAAGGACAGTTCCTCTCTAAGGCTACGTCTACACTATGAGTTTACCTGGCAAAAATATGCAAATAAGGGACTCATTTGCTTGACTCATGATCTCATTTGCATATTTCCTGCTAATCCATTTTTGCCTAGGGGTTTTTGTGCAAAAACAAGCAGTGTGGATGCTTTCTTTTTGTGCAAAATCCCCTTTTCCCACAAGATCGGTAAACCTCCATTTTTAGGTCATAAGGATTTGGTGGGAAATGGGGTTATTGTGCAAAAAGAAAATGACCACACTGCCTGTTTTTTGCACAAAAACCCCTAGGCAAAAATGGATTGGCTGAAAATATGCAAATGAGATCACAGCTCATGCAAATGAGCCCCTCGTGTATATATTTTGCCAAGAAAACTCATAGTTTAGATATAGCTTAACAGAAAGTCTGTGTGTAGACTGCAGGATTCTTTCGGAAGGCCCTTTTTTGGAAGAGATCTTCCAAAAAAACTTCTTGTGGAAGAGAGAGTTCACACTGCCAAAGCACATTGAAAAAAGCGATCTGCTTTTTCGAAAGAGATAGTTCAGACTGAATGCATGCTATCTCTCATTTAAGCTCTGGTTACTATGGCTGGAGTGGCCACCAGGGCACCTGTGCTTTATCCTCTTTCCTCTTCTTTCAAAAGAACTCCCTCTTCCCCATCCACACACACCTTTTTCTGAAAGAGCTCTTTCAGAAAAAGGCTTCTCCCTCATAGAAAAAGGATTACCAACATCAGAAAACCCCCTCTCTTCTTTCGATTTACTTTTGGAAGAATGCAACTGCAGTGTGGACATAACTCAGGTTTTGTTGGAAAAATGGTCGTTTTTCCGACAAAACTCTGTAGTGTAGACATGCTGAAAGATAAAGAGATGAACTACAGCTTTAACTGTACATTAATAAAGCTTTAATAAATTTAGCTGTTATTTTTCTCTAAAATAGGCTTTGTCCCTTGCTCACTTTCTTGAGTTTTTCAGAGGGATGAGACAATCCAGCTCTTAGTCTGAAAATCAGCATTTGTGCTGTATTGAAATAAAATTATTTTAGTTTTATTTTTTCTATGCTCATGGAAATACTCTGCTCTAATAAAAGTAAATAACACCATGTCTTTCAATTTCAGCCAGATCAACCACAGAACTGGGTAAGTCACATTTTTTGCTTCATTTCTTTTACATTGATGCTCAGGGAAAAGAGAGGTAGGAAATCCGAAGGATAGGACATCAGTAGAATCAGGGTTTGAATCTGGAGATTCTTCCAGGATTCTCTGTTGCCCAAACTGAAAGGCCTAGCTCAATAACCAATCATTTTAGGGTACATCTAGATAGCGGGCACTATTTCAGGATATGTCCAGTATCCAAAAATAATGTTTTTTGGGTCTTAACTGCATGCTCATTATTTCAAAATGAAATCGAAATAACGGGCTTGCTATTCCAATGTCCCAGTAAAACTCATTCGATGAGGATTAAGGGATTTATTAGAATAGTGCTCTATTTGAAAATCTGGCACTGTGTAGATAGTGCCAAATTTTGAAATAGACTATCTCAAAATAAGCTACGCAATTTGCATAGCTCAAATTGTGTACCTTATTTTGAGCTAGTGCTACTGTGTAGATTCCCTCTTTCAGGCTTACCAAGTTCTAGTTGGTTAGTCAGTGTTAGATAGGCATAGAGTATTATACTGGATGTTCATGGCTTACACATCAATCCTACTCTCAGAAGAAGCAGTATCTTCTCTCAAGTTACATCTACACTGCAGGCTTCTTGCACAATAATTCTTACACAAAAGGTTCTTGTGCAAGAGTGTGTTCACACTGCCATGTGCTTTTGCGCAAGAAAGTTCTGATGGCCATTTTAGCTATAGGGTTTCTTGTGCAAGAAAGCCCTGTTGCCCCTCAACACTGCCTTCTTGTAGGCTTGTTCCTTGTAGAAAGAGGAATAACTCTTGCATAAAAAGCCCTGTGTTCTTACAATTAACTATATCTTTTTTTATGCAAGAATGCGCTCGTAGTGTGGACGCTCCACAACTTTTTGCGCAAAACCAGCTGTTTTTGTGCAAAAACTCTGCAGTGTAGATGTAGCCTTAGTCCTGCAGTGCTAGGATCAGGGTGGCCCTGTGAACAGGGTTCTAGAAAGTCAAAACTCTTCCTCTAGCTTCCGAAGGGTACGTCTACGCAGCAGAGTTATTTTGGAATAACATCCATTATTCTGAAATAATATTATGCATTGTAAATTAATTCAAAATGACAGGCTTCTTGTATGAGGATTAAGGATATCAGTTGAATGCGATTTATTTCAAAATAAGTGATATATAGTTCAAATTAGCATAGCTCAAATTGCGTAGCTTATTTCAAGGTACCTGCTACTGTATAGACATATCAGCTGTGTCTAGACTGGCCACTTTTTCCGAAAAAGCAGCTGCTTTTCTGGAAAAACTTGCCAGCTGTCTACACTGGCTGCTTGAATTTCCGCAAAAGCACTGACTATCTCATGTAAGATTGTCAGTGCTTTTCTGGAAATACTATGCTGCTCCCGTTCGGGCAAAAGTCTTTTTCCGAAAAACTGTTGCGCAAAAGGGCCAGTGCAGACAGCAGAGATTTGTTTTCTGCAAAAAAGCCCTGATCGCAAAAATGGCGATCGGGGCTTTTTTGCGGAAAAGCGCGTCTAGATTGGCCACAGACACTTTTCCACAAAAAGTGCTTTTGCGGAAAAGCATCGTGCCAATCTAGACATGCTTTTCCGAAAATGCTTTTAACAGAAAACTTTTCCGTTAAAAGCATTTCTGGAAAATCATGCCAGTCTAGACGTAGCCACCCTGAGTCTGTGTCTACATTGGCAAGATTTTGCACAAAATCTTGCCGCCTATCTACACTGGCCACGAGTATTTGCGCAAGAACACTGACTTTGTAATGGGAGTAAATCGGTGGGCCCAGATAATCTTCATCCAAGAATATTAAAGGAACTGGCACATGAACTTGCAAGTCCATTAGCACAAATTTTTAATAAATCTCTAAACTCAGGAGTTGTAACATTTGACTGGAGAATTGCTAATATAGTTCCAATTTTTAAGAAAGGGAAAAAAAGCGACCCGGGTAACTGTTAGTTTGATATCTGTAGTATGTAAGATCCTGGAAAAAAGTTTGAAGGAGAAAGTAGTTAGAGACATTAAGGCTAATGGCAACTGGGACAAATTACAACATGGTTTTACAAAAGGTAGATCATGCCAAACCAACCTGATCTCCTTTTTTGAGAAAGTAACAGATTTTTTAGATAAAGGAAATGCAGTGGATCTAATCTACCTCGACTTTAGTAAGGCATTTGATACAGTACCACATGGGGAATTATTGGTTAAATTGGAAAAGATAGGGATTAATATGAAAGTTGAGAAGTGGATAAGCAACTGGTCCTGATAAAATTTGCGGATGACACAAAGTTGGGAGCTATTGCCAATTCAGAAAAGGATCGGGATATCATACAGGAAGATCTGGATGATCTTGTAAATTGGAGTGATAGCAATAGGATGAAATTTAATAGTGAGAAGTGTAAGGTTATGCATTTAGGGATTAATAACAAGAATTTTAGTTATAAGCTGGGGACACATCAGTTGGAAGTAACGGAGGAGGAGAAGGACCTCGGAGTCCTGGTTGATTATAGGATGCCTATGAGCCGCCATTGTGACATGGCCGTGAAAAAGGCTAATACGATCTTGGGATGTATTAGGCGAGGTATTTCCAGTAGGGATAAGGAGGTGTTAGTGCCATTATACAAGGCATTGGTGAGACCCCATTTGGAATACTGTGTGCAGTTCTGGTCTCCCATGTTTAAGAAGAATGTATTCAAACTGGAACAGGTACAAAGAAGGGCCACTAGGATGATCCGAGGAATGGAAAACCTGTCTTATGAAAGGAGACTCAAGGAGCTTGGCTTGTTTACCTTAACCAAAAGAAGGCTGAGGGGGGACATGATTGCACTTTTTAAATATATTAGAGGGATAAATACCAGGGAGGGAGAGGAATTATTTAAGCTTAATACCAATGTGAACACAAGAACAAATGGATATAAGTAGGAAGTTTAGACTTGAAATTAGACGAAGGTTTCTAACCATTGGAGGAGTGAGGTTCTGGAACGGCCTTCCAAGGGAAGTAGTGGGGGCAAAAGATCTATCTGGTTTTAAGATTAAACTAGATGGGTTTATGAAGGGGATGGTTTTATGAGATAACATGATCTTGGTAACTAATTGATCATTCATTATCAGTGGGAAATAGGTCACTGGAGGGATGATAGGAATTATTAGAGAACTTTCTGGGTGTCTGGCTGATGAGTCTTGCCCACATGCTCAGGGTTTAGCTGATCGCCATATTTGGGGTCAGGAAGGAATTTTCCTCCAGGGTAGATTGGCAGAGGCCCTGGAGGTTTTTTGCCTTCCTCTGTAGCATGGGGTACAGATCACAGCTAGAGGATTCCCTGCATCTTGGGGTCTTCAAAGTATTTGAAGGCTTCAGTATCTGAGATATAGGTGAGAGGATTATTCTGGGAGGGGTGGGTGAGATTCTGTGGCCTGCACTGTGCAGGGGGTCGGACTAGATGATCATAATGGTCCCTTCTGACCTTAAAGTCTATGAGTCTATGAGAAAATCAGTGGTTCTTGCGCAAATACTCTGACACTCCCACTCAGGGATAAGCCCTCTTGTGCAAGTATTCTTGTGCAACAGGGCCAGTGTAGACAGTAACATTAATTTCTTGCGCAAGAAAGCCTGATGTCTAAAATGGTAAACACAGACTGTGACGTGAAGGCTACAGCTACACTACAAGTTTTCTTGGTGAAGAAACATGTCAGGATTTCATTTATATATTTTCTGCTGATCCATTTTTTTCGCTAGGGTTTTGGTGCAAAAACAAGCAGTGTGGATGTTTCCTTTTTGCTCAAAGCCCCCTTTTTCCACAAGATCCTTATTCCCCAAAAAAGGAGGTTTATTGATCTTGTGGGAAAAGGGGTTTTTGCATAAAAAGAAAACACACACTGCTTGTCCCTCATTTGCATATTTTTTGCCAAGAAAACTCATAGGCTGTGTCTAGACTGGCAAGTTTTTCCGCAAAATCACATGATTTTGCGGAAAAACTTGCCTGCTGTCTACACTGGCCGTTTGAATTTCCGCAGGAACACTGACGATCTCATGTAAGATCATCAGTGTTCTTGCAGAAATACTGTGCTGCTCCCGTTCGAGCAAAAGCCCTCTGTGCAAATCATTTGCGCAAGAGGTCCAGTGTAAACAGCACAGTACTGTTTTCCACAAAAAAGCCCTGATGGCGAAAATGGCGATCGGGGCTTTTTTGCAGAAAACCGCGTATAGATTGGCCACGGACGCTTTTCCGCAAAAAGTGCTTTTGTGGAAAAGCATCCTGCCAATCTAGATGCGCTTTTCCATTTCTGTTAAAAGCATTTTCGGAAAATCATGCCAGTGTAGACATAGCCATAGTGTAGACATAGCCAGACTGAGGAGAAATTAATTGCTCTGTGGTGTGGTTTTGCTTGAGTAAGAGAGCAGACTCCCAGCATGTAGTTAATACCTGGGGTAAACCATCTAATTATGGATATAAGCACAAATTGTGCTATTTCTCTGTACAGCAATATAAACTCAGAGCCTCCAAGCCTCTGCCAAAATCCCATGGCAGACATTCTGGTTAGCTCTGCGCCTGAGAAACTGCCATCCCTCAGCCTTTGCCTCCTCACCTGGGTCATGCACAAACGCTGCTGCTTACTTACAGCAACTGCTTAAACACACAGGCTTATAACAGGCCCCAGCACCTGCATTTGCATCTGAGGAGACCCCATCCGAGCTATGCTCCTCTTATGGCCTCATGGACTGTCAGTGCTCTTGGACATTAATCCCCTCCTTTGTGTCCAGTTCTTTTGTGCTACTGAAGAGTTGATCTTGCTTTTGGAAATAGAGGCATTAATCCCCGCCTCCCACCCCATTTATTCCATCAAGCTCTGTGGGGGTATGTCTACACTACCCTCCTAGTTCGAACTAGGAGGGTAATGTATGCATACCGCACTTGCGACATGGGCGTGAAAAAGGCAAATACGATCTTGGAATTTAAATCCCCCTCTTTATTTGCATAAACATGGCTGCCGCTTTTTTCCGGCTCGGAGCTTTGCCACAAAAAAGCGCCAGTCTAGACGGGGATCTTTCAGAAAATAAAGCCTTTTCCAAAAGATCCCTTATTCCTCTTAAAAAAAAAGAATAAAAAAGGCTTTATTTTCCAAAAGATCCCCGTCTAGACTGGTGCTTTTTTCCGGCAAAGCTCCGAGCCGGAAAAAAGTGGCAGACATGTTCATGCAAATGATGTGAGGGGGATTTAAATCCCCGCTTCATTTGCAATTACGATGTGTCTAATTTGCATCCCTTTTATGGAAAAGGGATGCGGTCTAGACACAGCCTTCGAGTTCTTCAGATGAGAAATAGCATGAGAATTAAGGAAGTAGTAGAGCCCCGGGCTGGTTCTGAGCCTGTATTCCCATTACCAGTATTCTCACTGGAATCAATGGGAATTTTACTGAGTGGGAACTGGAGAAACTGGCCAGTTATGAATTTTCACTGTCTTGTGTTCCAATAACTTCATGATTCTTCTTTTGCAGAATTCAGGAGGGTTCGGAGCTACATGGGTGAGCTTAACTCTATAATTATCCTGCCACCTTAAGAGAGCTATTTTTCCAGACCGCGGTGTCAGGGGTAGCAATGATATACAAAAAAAGTGATGTAAGGTCTTGTATCTATGCTAACAGCAGATATCAATATTTGGAAGGACAGTGGGTTTCTTTCCTTCTTTGTCATATATGAGTTTTATATTTGTGTTCTTTTAATCAAATGGGTGGGATGTACTCATAATTTGGGCATCTCTTTCAGCTTATATCTAATGCTTTTCATACACTAAAATACTAAATAAATAAATTTTAACACCCCCTCCCACTCTGCCCCCGTAAGTTTCAAGTATATCCCTAGTGGAGGGAATGCCACTATCTCTATTCAGGAAGCAAAGGCTAGAAGCTAGTTTCCTATCAGAAGTAAAGCAGAAGAAATTATTATTTAAAATAGTTGCCTTGACATTAGAAGCTACTCCATTTCTACTCAAGCTTTTCTATTTTATTGAGATCTGACTCAGATGTGACTAATTGGGTTATTTTTTACTCCTCATTTCTGGGATCCTTGGCGAGATTCTGATGGGTCATTTTGGTCTTTCTTTCCAGTTCCCATCACCCTGGATCCAAGTTACAAACATGCTGACCTCACCTTGTCTGCAGATGGCAGAACAGGGCAGACTGCCACACCTGGAGCCCTGGTTGCTGTGGAGAGGGAAGGGTTTGTGCCCAGGAAGGATCAAGATAGGGAGGGCAGAGTTTGTAGGTGGTACTGGGAGGTGCAGGTGGGAGACAACCCAGACTGGACCCTGGGGGTGCTGAGTGAGACTGTGAGGGGCAAATTGAAAAAGGAAGGGCTGGAGAGTTTCCCCGAGGAGGGGTGCTTGGCTCTGAGGAGATCAGAGGGGCAGTATTACCCCAGTGAGGCTGACACTGTGATCCAGAGCTGGGGTGTGAAGCCAACAGTGATTGGGGTGTTTCTGGATCTAAAAGAGAAGAGTCTCTCATTTTACAGTGTCAATTCAATGGCCTTTATCCTGGAGATTCCTGTGGAAATTTCTGAGAGATTGTTCCCGTTCCTTAGCCCTAGTCACACTGCAGGAAAGGGCCAAGGGAACTCCCTCAGCATCTGCCCCCTCAGTGACTGGGATTTTCCCCAGACATTATCATGTAATGGGCCTGTTAGTCAAGGAGATTCCAAGGCTGGAAACAGTGGGCTATCCTCAAAAGATGAAATATCCAGAGGCCTAGCACAGTCTCCCACCTCAAACAATGAGGAAAGGGCAGGAAGTAAAAAAAGGCCATCTACAACAGAAGAAACAACCACAAACTCAGCACAGTCCTCCATCCCCCAAAATGAGGATGGGGCAGGAAGCAACACAAAGCCACTTACAACAGGAGAATCATCCACAAGCTCTGAACAACATCTTACTCCTGTAAATCCAGATGTGAAAGGAAATAGCTCTAGGTCATGGGTGAGCAAAAATCTCCAAAATCTCTCCTCATGGAAGTTGATAAAGGGAGATAAAACAGAGCAGAAAAAAGAAACAACAAACCCTAAGGTCTGAAAGTTTGTCTGCAAGAACCCCACCTGCCAAAAGCCCTCCAGCAAGGTAAAAGGAATGAGAAAGAGAAAAATGCTCAGAACTTGACTCTGTGAAACTGATGCACTTGTTCTGCAGATTTCAGGGCCAAAATTTTAATAAAATTTTATTAAAGCTAATGTTAACAAATTATATAATACGCAAATTAAGAAAAGAGTTTGTACATCTATGTTTAGTGATACTAGGGAATTAAATCCATGTGTGGGCACCTGGGAAAGAATGTCACCCCCAAAAGACAATGGGGAAGTTTTTCCTTCTGCCTGAACATGTTTTGTTAGTCTATAAAGTGCTACCAGACCATTTGTTGTTTTTTTCTGTAACAGACGGCTAACCCTTGAAGTAATTAAATAGGAAGGTGTTTACTTGAGGGAACTATGATAATGTTATTGTTAAGGTTTAGAATTTAAATACACAGAAGTCAAGAAATGCAGAAGCAAAGGTTCTTACAGTGATACTCAGGTTTTGTCTATAATGGAAGCAAAATTGCTGCTGACATGTAAAAGTTGTCAAAACTGAAAACTTGTCAACCTGTTTTCTGGTTTCCGTTGTCAATAAATCATGGCCACATTGTTTGTTCCCTGGTTGACAGAAAGAGCAAAGCAATGTGAGTATGCATCCCACAATACCTGGCATTACCTTCAGTTGCTAGGTACTATGGGAATGCACAACATAGTGCTATACATTTTGGAAATGTGAAATTGTCCCTTCAGTCACCTCTTTACTTCCAAGCCCTCCTGGGGCTTCCAGCTTAGAATCCTAGGGCTGGAAGAGACCTTGGGAGTTTTGAGTCCAGCCCTTTGCCCCAAAGCAGGACAAACCCCAACTAAATCATCCCAGCCAGGGCTTTGTCAACCTGGGACTTCAAAACCTTTAAGAGTGGAGATTCTATCACCTCCCTAAGGAATCGATCCCAGTGCTTCAACACCCTCCTAAAGAAATTTTTTCCCCCAATATCCAACCTAGACATCCCCACTTGCAGCTTACTTTTGCACCTCTTGAATGACAGTTCTTGCTGCACACTCCAGCATCCGCTGTGAGAAATCATGGATCTAAGACTTCACTCCCATGTTGTGTCCAATGTGCTTAGGTCCCCACACATTGCAGTAGAGCTACTTTTTTCTCTTAATAGTAGAGGATGAAGGCTTGGATGCAGACAACAATGTGAGTGACTGGTACAGCAGCAAAGTAGCATTGCATTGGGCTGTCATAGCAGTTGGGCATAGCAGAGTGTCGCTTTTGAGCTGGGAAAACCAGCACTAAGGCTATGACTAGACTGCAGAGTTTTTGTGCAAAAACTCACGGTGTTCACACTGCAAGTGCATTTTTGTGCAAGTAAATCAGTAGAAGGGAGGGGGATTTGCACAATAATTATTCCTCTTTCTATGATGAATAAGCCTTTTTGTGCAAGAGCTTTTGCGGGAAAAGATGTGAGTGGATGGGAAACAGGAATTTTTTGTACAAAAACAGCCTATCGATAGAAGCACAGGTGCTCTGGTGGCCATTCTGTTAATGGAAATCAGAGCTTTCTTGTGAGAGAGTGTCCATGCAGTCTGGATGCTTTCTTGTGCAAAAGCTCATTACTTTTTCGAATTGGTTTTGTAGTGTGGACATTTTTTCTGCAAAAAGCTTCTTGTACAAGAAGCCTGTAGCCTAGACATAGCCTGAATGATGGGATTGTATTGTGATGCAAGTGTGGGATGACCAGTGACTACAAAACTTTCAGATGTATAAAGCAACCTTCCTGGACCTGAGCGCTGGGTTGGCCCCTGAACTGCTGTACAAGAACAACCGAATGTACTAGAAATACTGAGTTTGTTGTTTAATGAAGAAAAGGTTATATCAGAAATACATATTCATAGATTTTGACAATATTTTCACATGCAAGTATCAATTTGTTACAAAACCAAACTTCTGAACTTCTATCTGAAAAAGGAAATAAATTAAAAAAGAATAAATACATAAACAAAAGTGAAAAAATAGACTAAAAATGTGGTGGGCAGAAAAAGAGGGTCTGTTGCCTTTATTGTACTGTGATATTGTAATAAAAAAGTAATATTTAATGTGATAGTTTTATCTTTTCTACAGCAAACATGAAGAATATGCCCTTAGTTTACAAGGTTTTCCTTTTTTTTCATTTTCATTGTTCTAATAAAACAATAATTCATGTGGTCAAGTCAGATTTTATACTATTTTTAAATGAAACTAGGTTATAACAGTTTTTATATTTCAAAAAATAATTCAATTAAAATTCAGTATTACCATGAAAAATACCTCACTCTAGCTGTGAATTTACTAGTACACATTGCATGTTCTTAAAATACTGTTAACTAATCTGTGTTAGAACCCCAGTGTGGACAGTACAATTTGTATTTCAATACATGCTTGCAAAGTTTAGTCAAGCTGCCACTGCCTAGGCTGCCATTGCCACAGAGCTATTGTTACTCATGTTACAATCATAGAATACTAGGATTGGAAGGGACCTCAAGAGGTCATCAAGTCCAGTCCCCTGCCCTCACGGCAGGACCCAGTACTGTCTAGACCATCCCTGATAGACATTTATCTAACCTACTCTTAAATATCTCCAGAGATGGAGATTCCACAACCTCCCTGGGCAATTTATTCCAGTGTATGACCAACCTGGCAGTTAGAAACTTTTTCCTAATGTCCAAACTAAACCTCCCTTGCTGCAGTTTAAGCCCATTGCTTCTTGTTCTATCCTCAGAGGCCAAGATGAAGAAGTTTTCTCCCTCCTCCTTATGACACTCTTTTAGATGCCTGAAAATGGTTATCATGTCCCCCCTCAATCTTCTCTTTTCTAAACTAAACAAACCCAATTCTTTCAGCCTCCCTTCATAGGTCCTGTTCTCTAGACCTTGAATGAGTCTTGTTGCTCTTCTCTGGACCTTCTCCAATTTCTCCACATCTTTCTTGAAATATTGTACCCAGAACTGGATACGGTACTCCAACTGAGAGCGGAAGAATGACTTTTCATGTCTTGCTCACAACACTCGTGTTAATGCATTCCAGAATCATGTTTGCTTTAGCTTGTAGTCCACTGTGACCCTTAGGTCCCTTTCTGCAGTGGTCCATGTAGGGAATAATTCTTGACACACTGCTTGCAGGTGAAAACAAGCAGAGGATTTATTGGTTCACTCAGCTGGTGGAGTACCCACCATAAGCCAATGATCCAAGACAGTTACACATCATCTCCGCCAATTAAACATTTTATCTCTAATACAGGAAGTTATTCCTAACAAGCAAAACAAGCCAACATAAACAGGACGTAAGTCCCAAAAATGGACATATTGATGTTAATTTGTGTTCCTGAAATTGTGATGTCTACTGTGAGAAGACTCCTTCCTTGTGTTGACACAGTCCTTGGGATACAAGCGGATTAATCTGAAATCACAAGAGACAGTGAAAAAAACTGCACAGCCTGGCTGGTACCAGAGAGAGAGGCCCCTTTGGAATGTAGTTGCCGAGGGAACCAGGGTCATGGTAACTGCTACCTGTGCACTTCCCAGGCTTAGCCTAATAATTTGCACTTTGCATTTGTCTTTATTAAACTTCATCATGTTTACCATAGACTATTTCTCCAATTTGTCCAGATCATTTTGAATTATGACCCTATTCTCCAGAGAAGTCGCAACCCCTCCCAGCTTGGTATCATCTGCAAACTTAGGGTGTGTCTAGACTACATGCCTCTGTCGTTAGAGGCATGTAGATTAGACACAAAGGCAAAGGCAAAGGAAGCGACGATTTAAATTATTTACATTTACATTTACATCCCACGAGGAGTACCGGGGCTGCCGACAAAGGGCTTTGATGTCAGCAGGGGAGCGTCCAGACTAGCGCGCTGAGCCGACAAATAGCTGATCAGCTGTTTGTCGGCTCAGTGCGGCAGCCTCTTGTAGTCTAGACACACCCTTAATAAGCGTACTTTCAATGCCAGTATCTAAATCGTTGATGAAGATATTGAACAGAGCCGGTCCCAAAACAGACCCCCGAGGAACTCCACTTGTTATACCTTTCCAGCAGGATTGTGAACCATTAATAACTACTCTCTGAGTATGAATAGTGATAGAAATGTAGCCGTGTTAGTCTGGTGTAGCTGAAACAAAATACAGGACTATGTAGCACTTTAAAGACTAACAAGATGGTTTATTAGATGATGAGCTTTCGTGGGCCAGACCCACTTCCTCAGATCAAATAGTGGAAGAAAATACTCACAACCATATATACCAAAGGATACAATTAAAAAAAAAGAACACATATGAAAAGGACAAATCAAATTTCCTCAGATCAAATAGTGGAAGAAAGTAGTCACAACCATATATACCAAAGGATACAATTAAAAAAAAATGAACACATATGAAAAGGACAAATCACATTTCAGAACAGAAGGGGGATGCAGGAGGGAAAGGAAGGTGAATGCCTGTGAGTTAATGATATTAGAGGTGGGGAAGGGTAGATGTCTGTGAGTTAATAGTGTTAGAGGTGATAATTAGGGAAGCTATCTTTGTAATGGGTAAGATAGCTGGGATCTTTGTTCAGCCCCCTGCGGAGAGTGTCGAATTTTAGCATGAATGCCAGTTCAGAGGATTCCCTTTCAAGTGCAGATTTGAATGTCTTCTGAAGTAGGATGCAGCTTTATCCATATAATCAGATAAAACAGTAACAGCAGTGGAGGCATCTGCATGCAGCCCCAGCCTGAAAAGGTGACAGAATATTTGTACTCACTGTCCCCTTGGAGCAAAATGCAGGACAATGTAGCACTTTAAAGACTAACAAGATGGTTTATTAGATGATGAGCTTTCGTGGGCCAGACCCACTTCCTCAGATCAAATAGTGGAAGAAAGTAGTCACAACCATATATACCAAAGGATACAATTTAAAAAAATGAACAAATATGAAAAGGACAAATCACATTGCAGAACAGAAGGGGGATGCGGGGGGGTGGGAAGGGGGAGGAAGGAAGGTAAGTGTCTGTGAATTGCTGATATTAAAGGTAGGGAGAGTGGGATGTTTGTGAGTTAATGGTATTACAGGTGATAATTGGGGAAACTGTCTTGGTAATGGGTGAGAAAGTTCAAAGACTTGTTAAGTCCTTGTTGGTAAGTGTCGAATTTTAACATGAATGACAGTTCAGAGGATTCCCTTTCAAGTGCAGATGTAAAAGGTCTTTGTAGCAGAATGCAGGTGGCTAAGTCATTTAGAGAGTGTCCTTTCTGGTTAAAGTGGCAAGAAACTGTTTTCTCTTTGTGATCTTGTCTGATATCTGTTTTGTGGGCATTAATCCTTTGGCGAAGTGTCTGAGATGTTTGTCCAATGTACATAGCAGACGGACACTTTCGGCACATGATAGCGTAGATTATATTTCTGGATGCGCAGGAATATGTGTTCTTGATCTTATAACTCACTTGGTTAGGTCCAATAATGGTATCAGCAGAATGAATATGTGGACAAAGCTGGCAACGGGGTTTGTTGCAAGGGAAGGTACCAGGGTTGGTATTAGTGTGGTATGTCCTGTGGTGGTTGGTAAGAATCATCTTGAGGTTAGGTGGTTGTCTATAGGAGACTATGGGTCTGTCTCCCAGAGCCTCTTTGAGTATGGTATCCTGTTCCAATATAGGCTGTAGTTTATTGATAATGTGTTGGACAGGTTTAAGTTGGGGGTTGTAGGTGATGACAAGTGGTGTTCTATTGTTGGTTTTCTTGGGTCTGTCTTGAAGTAGATGGTTTCTAGGTATTCGTCTGGCTCTTTCAATTTGCTTTTTTGTTTCTCTGGGTGGGTAGTTGAGATTTATAAATGCTTGGTAGAGATCCTGAAGCTTCTGGTCTCTGTCAGTGGGGTTAGAGCAGA